AAAAAAAAAAAAAAAAAAGAAGAGCTTTGCCGCCCAACAGGACTACACAAAATAAACAGGGAGCCTCGAGCAGTAGAGAGCTTTCTGTCACCAGAGCTGTTTTATTGACAAATTCTGGCACACATTTGGTAGGAATCTTGAGGCAAGGATTCGGGCATGTAGTGGGTGAATGGCCTGAATAACTACCTATGCTCCATGATTCATCCATTCATTTATTCAACTAGTATTTACTGACCAGGGATTGCACCAGGAACCCAATGAATCCACACAGAACAAACACACCCATGTAACCACCGTGCAGAGTGGCGGCCTATGCGAGCCGATGAACAAGGCAGATTTGGCCTCCGACCCGGCGGCGAAGAAATAGACGTAATTGAATGAACTATTGGGTGTCAAAAGGGAGTGTGAGGGGACAACTTGGGGTGGGAGTCAGAGAGACACTTAGCTTGCAAAAGGATGAATATAGGAAGCTTGTGTGGTTCCATGACCTTAGATGTCTCTAGAGGGCTCAGGCTTCTTTTCTCTTCAGTGATGCCTGCTCTTCCAGTTGGGTGACCTTCCTGAGCGCTGGCTTAGGCCAGTCTATACCTGTCAGCTCCGGAGCTGTGAGTCCTGCTCAGCTGACAGGTAACCAGGTAACTTTGATCATCCCAGGGGAACCATGTGTGGTCTTTAGTTACACCCCTTCTCTCCTCCCCTCTTCTCTAAAAGACCACCAGAAGGCTAGTCACACGGACTTGGAGACAACAGAGGCACAGGCAATGCCATGGCGGGTGCACCCCAAGAGCCTGGCCGACTCTCCGTTTTCAGGGCAGCCATCAAAGCACCCAGTGGGACTGGCCACAATCCAGAGCTCCACATACAAAACAGAAAAGACACAGCAGGTGAGCCAAGAGGCATGTGACCCCGGGACTTTCTCCCGCACTGATGGGGGACAGCACTAGGGTAACACAGCAGCTATTCATGAAATGTTCACATGATTTGGGTAAACAATAATCTAAAAAAAATACCATGCCCCAAGTCTTCACTATGGGCCAGGCGCTGTGCTGAGTGATTATAGATGCATTATCTTATTTAGGGATTGAACGGCCCCGTAAGGGGCAGAATTATTATGTTTACATTACAGAAGAGGAACCTGAGGTCTAGAGGTTGTCAAAACTTATCTGAGATCACATAGCCAGGAGATGGCAGGCCCAAGGGTCTCTGGAGCCTGTGTTTGTGGCCTCTGTTCTGTGGACCTTACGTGGCGATAAATGAAAGCCCAACAAAGCAGAAAGGGTCAAAATGAGCTCTCCTGTTTGAACTCCAGAAGTCAGTGAGTAAGCCCTCATCAGGACGGGGATCCAAAACTAAGTTCAAGGCCTGGGCAACGTCAAAAGAAAAATAATGAACCAGAAAAAAATGTTTTCTTACTTATGTTACAAAGGGATAACTTCTAATATATAAATGCATATATTCATATAAGGACTAACAAACAGAAGAAGTGGATAAAAGAGATGAACAGAAATCACACAAAAAAAAGTATCCAAATAGCATTTAGGCATAGGAAAAGATGCCCAATCTGACCAGAGAAAATGCAAATTAAAGCCGAACTAAGGCAGCATTCATCTCCTGCAAACTTGAAAAATGTGTGGGATGCAGCTATTGTGGCCTTAAATGTAGCATGGATTTGAAAAGAAGGAAACCGAAAGTCAATGACGTAAGTATCCCTATCAAGAAATTATAAAAGGAACACAAGGCCCAAAGAAAGGAACACAAGGCCCAAAGAAACTCCCTAAAAAAATGGAGTTTTTTTAAGGAAAAAAAAACTCACAAAAATAATAACCCTTGGCCGGATGAATCAAGGAAAAACAAAAGAGAAAGAAAGAGAGAATGAACAAATCCGGTCCAATATCAGGAATGAAAAAGCAGGCCTCACCATACCTCCTGGAGACAATGCAAAGTTACGGCCTATGCTCCAAACTTGAAAATTTCTGGAGAAATTCCTCACAAAACACAATGGAAGCCAACACCAAAATGACAGAGGTGTTAGAATGATCCGATGAAGATTTTATAGCAGCCATGATAAAAAATATTGTTTCAGTGAGCACTTAGAAACACATTTGCAATAAAGGCGGGTGGGGGTAGAAAGCTGTAGCAAAGAAATAGAAGCTATAAAGAACAAAGTGGCAATTTCAGAAATCGCATAAACATTTGTAACACCTGTCAATAAAGACTTCTCTGATCATTAATGTCCTCATCTACGGGGCTAACTGAGGAGCTAAACGTCAAAGCATTTCCAGGCAGACAGACCTTCCTGTGTTGGATGCTCTAAAAAGAAGCGACTAGAAGCAAGGTTGGTAACAACCTTACCGAACAGTGTGTTCCCTGAGGTATTCCCTCCACGCCAGGCAGCTGCAATCTGCCTGCAGGCCCGGTGTTTGGTCCTGAAGAATACGATGGAAGGGGTGGAAGGGGAAGGGGGGCTTTAGATCCCCCAAGTGAGCTGGAAGCAGCAGGGAGGGGCTGGGCAGGAGGGAAGAAAGCTTTGTCTTTTTTTCAAACACAGTATTGTTTATCGCAATAGTAGCCAGGATTCCCAGGAGGGTGGAAGAGGGGGCTTGCAGAATGGTTTCAAAGGGGTCCCCTCACTCCTGCAGAGACACGCCCCGGAAAAGCCATACTTACAAAGGAGACCATCATGACCTGTACGGATGGAGAAGCACTGGGGGCAAGGAACAGATCAGGGACTACCCCACCAGTGGTCAGCACCCTCAGCTGGGAGGGGCAGAACTTTTGAAAGAGTCGGGTCTGTCTCTAGCTTTCCTCCTTCCTTTTTTTCCTTGGAAGAAGACGACACAGCATCAGGTACTTTCCCTTAGTTTACAGAACCTGTTTGCCCCTGCCACAGTGTCTGATCTCACACCCGTAGAGACTGAGGGATAGCCTCGTCTCATTTTACAGACGTCCAAGTTGAGCCTCAGAGCAATCAAGTGAATTACCCAAGGTAGTCCTCAGACTAAGGACCCATCCCACCTATATACTATCCCTAGGGGTGCCCGGGTGGCTCAGTCAGTTAAGCATCTGCCTCTGGCTCAGGTCACGATCTCACAGTTCGTGAGTTCGGGCCCCACATCAGGCTCTCTGCTGTCTGTGCGGAGCCCGCTTCAGATCCTCTGACCCCCTCTCTCTGCCCCTGCCCCACTCACACACGCGTGTTTTTTGTCTCCCTCAAAAAAAATTCCTATCTCCATCAAGACATAATGAGTATTATTTCTACCATTTTAGAGCACCTCTTGTGTGCCAGGCATAAGCCTCGATGCATTGCTTCCCTAATCGCGGGAACCGGGGAGGCCACCCCGCCTTACAGGCAAGGAGGTAGGAGTTCTTACTTAGTGCCTAACACTGTCGGAAACACTTCAGTTTGCATGGAGTCACTCAGTCTTCCCGACAATCCCATGAGAGTGAGTGGAAGTAGCATCTCCATTTCAGAGATATGGGAAATCGCGGGTCAGAGACATCAGGTAATCTGTCTGAGGCCACACAGCTGAGAAAGAGCACAACCGGTATTCGAACCGAGCCTTCTTACCACGGTTCTGTGTCCCCGGCAGCACAGGCGACTGTGGTGGGACATCACACAGATGTGGGACATCTGACATCACACAGAAGTGGGACATCTGACAGAATCAGTCAAAACCCCAGCCCAACTGAAGACCAGTCTTTCCACCCAGCTATCCTGCCTAGAGCGGGGCTGGAGGGATGCTCTGGGTCACTTGGGCAGCCTCCTTCCCTCCGGCTAAGAGACAGCTGGTTGCCAGTCAATCCCCAGAAACGGCCCGGCACGTGTGGAGGCAGAGCCCGCTATGGTGGCATCAGACCGGGTCGGGCTGGCAGAGCAGGGCCCCAGCTCCATCAACCTTCTCTGCTGCTTGCTGGCTGAAAGCAACCCCAGACTCTCATCGTCTCCCTGGGCCCCCACTGAAAACACAGTGCCAGGAGGAAAGGGAACTTGGAGGGGTAAGAGGAGCCGGGGTGGTGAGGAGAGGGGCGCTGGGGAGCTTGGTTCTGGAGTTGTGGGGAAAGGGTAACCTAGCAACCACTGGCTCACGTAGTCACAAAGCCCGACAGGCTTGCCCACAGAATCAGCCGAGCTTCCCTGTTGATATGCCCTCTGCTCGGGCACCAGGGACTTCTCACCCACATGCTGTAGCAGACACTTACCTCGGTGAGTCCACGGATCTCTCCAGGGGAGGAAGTGGACGCCAGAGCCAGACAGGGGCCCAGGCGGAGCTGAGACAGGAAAGGGATGTTCGGTCTCAGGCTTGGTGTGAGCATTCAGACCCCTTGGACTCAGCTGGTTGGGGCCCCAGGCAGAGAGGGAAGCGAGGGCAGAGGCAGACACAGTGGGGCCCGTCCCATCCCGCTCTGGAAAAGCAGGCCTGGCCTGCTCGAGTCCCTGGTGACCTTTCCACAGCAGCTGTGGGTTGTGACCCATCAGTGGCTTATAAAATCAATTTAATGGGTCACAGCTAACATTTACAAAATAAAAACAAAAAGTGAGATGAAAATATCACTGTGCATCGGATGTAGCAAGGGTAAGTGTTGCTTCGGGATGTTCCTGCTTCAATTTCACATACACAAAAGCGTGTGCACACGCGCATGTGAATCAGGTCACAATGTAACAATGAGTTTCTTACGATGAGCACAGTCAAGAGCGTTCGAAAGTCCCCGTTCTAACAAGTACTTTCTCCTGTAGGCAGATGGGTTTGGGGCTTCCAAATGGCCTGTTCTCAAACCTGCAGCATGTAAGTGCTCTAGATCGCAGAACCATCATCGAGAACATCCACAGCTTCCCTCCAAGGAAGTTCTGCCAACTGTTTTTCTCCTTAAAGGCGTCAAGTCAGGATGTTTGGGTCCTTGCTCTGGGACCTCAAGTCTCTCCTTCCCCAGTCTCAGGCAGTGCTGCCCCCCGCCCAGTTCCACCCTAGCCTGATAAGCGTTTGGCCCTGGGGATTTCTGGAGTCCCTTGCAGATCTTGTGACCGAGAGTTAATTTTCAGAATGCAATGACTTCCTGTCCCAGCCCCCTTCCTAGCACCCGCAATCCCTGCACTTTGGGGACGGATAAATAGATACATCTATGTAAACGTAAATGTAAGTGTATATGCATAGCTGTATAGCTATATTCAGATCTATAGATTTTTAGACTGATCACAATTCCTCAACAACTATCATCCTTCATCCACTCCACTGATTTAGTTTATTTCATATTATAATGGGCACCAGCAAATGCGCCTCTCAAACCAAGAACGAGAATATCATCATCAACACACCTTATGTACTCCCTCCCCATTTCAACACCCCCCCCCC